TTTCATTAAAAAACGAATTATGAACAGTAAATGCCGGTTTTGAACCATTGTGCGCTGGTATACGGACCTTCTGCGCAAACAACGAACATCGTCTGGTGAACCTTTTGCGGGCAGTCTAAGACAAGCCGGATTACCGAATTTTTTGTGCTCTTCAGTAGAGGACTCAGCGCCGAGGAGATTGTGGATATATGAAGCCTGCTTGTAGACCTGCGCTGGGACCAAGGACTTCAGCTGGACACATTCTTTTGAAGCCGCCCATCAAGTGATACATAGCGTGGTTTTTTATTCCGAATTTAAACAACGACTCTGGTTCTTCAGCGGTAACAATCGATGGTCCGTAAAAGCACTGAAGAGGGCCAAGACGTCCGGTACGTGGACTCGACCCTTCGCTGAGATAGCAAAAGACCGGAAGATATTGGTATCATAGGCGCAAACAATGAGGAAGGCAGGATACCCAGGAACTAATTAAAGTCGCACTAAGCCACATTGGCAAAACTAGCGATACAGGAGAAGCCAGATAACTGAGGTCTGCCCCCATCACTAACAGATTATGGCTAGTTTCACAGAAACTCTTAGCTGGTTGGCAGTGGCGACAGCTGAGACCGAGAAATTTGACGATGTTTAACCAGAAGCTCGTCTGAACGTAGTTGAAGCCCGTTAAATGTTATCTTGATACAGCGTGAGAGCTTAAGTACCGGCAAAACCATGAGACCAATCAAAAACCTTGCCGATCCTCCAAGAGTTCAACGCAGGTAGCCACATACAAATGGAGTGTGGTAAATAAACTGCTTAATAAAGACGTCTAGACACTCTACCGGAGAGGACAACAAAGTTAATAATGTGTACAGTAAGATTACCTGCAAAGTCTACAAAACCGAGACCGCAACTTTAGTTTTCTTAGCACTTTCGTTGAAATATAACCTAATGATTATAATATGGACATCAATGAGGGCAGGTCCAACGAGGAGCTAAGTGCCAAATTATATTATAAAGAGTACGTGGTTGGTTGCGTACACCCACTAAACCAACAGCGATCAGAAGTCGGAGCGGAACCTTTTTTTTCTACGCCCACAAATTTTATAAATTGACAGATAAAAATTTTAATAATCTAGACTCATTAACACAAATGAGTTTTGCTAATCAGGTCACAGAGCAAACACTAAACCGATATTTGACATGTTTCCTGCTGACGTCTGTTTATTTTTGCGCTTATGTATTTCACCCAAAAATGTGCAAATTTTCTGCTCTAATGCCACTCTCCATTGTACAAACCATTTAGCAAATTTTAAATAGGGATTTGAAGTTTGACAATTCAATTGTGTTGCACCGGTAGAAGAGTACGCAGCAGGTTACCTAAAATGTTGACCGATATGGTGTATTTAGTTTGCACCTTTGTCCTTTTACTTTACCAACTTTGGTGGTCTGCTGCCCAGTGGTAGCTGAACTAGATAAATGCTCCTTTTTGTTCTTGTCAGCTCCTAGTGCTTGTTTTGCCCGTTTTGTTCTTGCTTTCGAAACAAAATCTTAAATATCATCTTCCTCTATAAAGATTTTGTTATAAATGCAAAAATTGAAAGCGGGTGCATATCTTGGCTGCAACAAAATAGTGGTCCGAGTCGATGCTTGGGCCCAGGAGTGTGCTTACGTCTAAAACGATGGAAGCGTGCCTTCCACATTACTTGATGGATCTTTTTATGCTTCAGCCTAGTACTGCTTACTACCATGTTTCGGGCCCCGGCGAAGTCGATTAGCCTCAATCAGTTGTCGGACGTTTCGTCGTGGAGGCTGAATTTTCCGACGGTGGTTCCAAAGATCCCTTCCTTGCCCACCCTGACATTGAAGTCATGACGGGGGCAGCGCTCGTACGTGCGATCCTTGGATGACTCATCTTTCTCTTCTGTCGGGGCATGGGCGCAGATGAGCCAGATGTAGAAGAATCTCGCTTTGATGCCGATTGTGGCTAGACCCTCGTCCACCAGGGTGAACCACAGTACTCGGCGACGGAGTCTATCTCCAACCACAAATCCAACTCTGAATTTGCGCTCCTTTACATGGAAGCTGTAGTAGACGTCGCAAGGTCCCATACATTGCTTGCCTTGCCCCGTCCAACGCATTTATTGAATGCCGGTGATGTCAGCTTTTGTCCTCGAGGACACCAACCAGGCGGGCAGAGGCACCTTCCCCATTAAGGGTCAGGACATTCCAGGTGCATGCCCTCAAATCGTAGTCCTTTAAACGTTTGCCATGGTCGTCATCATAAGGGGGGTCTCATACGAGGCTTTATCTTGCTTCTTCACTGGAAGTGGTTTTTACGTGGCGGGTCCCAAACCCAGCGCACAACCCATTGCTGGGACGGGGGTGGTTTCGCAACAAAATACACGTTTATATAGCGAGCCGCTTGCTCCAAGCAGACACCCGCTTGCAGCTACACCGCATCTACTAGTAAAGAGACGCTGCAGACTTCAGTGAGCCCTTAAACCGAATAAGTCGGAGTGGCCCCACCGAAGCTCCCTCTCTTTCGGTCGTGACCTAAGGCTTCACTCGGATTGGTTACCGCACGAGTGCGCGAACGAGGACGCAAGAGTCGGTAAAATTACCGTGGACTTACGGTAAAAGTTACCGTGGCGCGTGTGTGTAGACACTGCCTATTTTTTAATTTATAATGGAATGGATTATGTATTGCCGGAGAAGTGGTGCAGAATTTCTTTATGCGTAGGCGGGCTTCAGCCGTGCTTAGGGATAATAAGCCTTACTACTCAGAATTCTCCTTTCAGTGTTGCCGGAGAAGTGGGACAGAACTTCTTTCTGCGTAAGCGGCCTACGGCCTCGCTTAGGGATTATAAGCCTTACTACTCAGAATTCTCCTTTCTGTGTTGCTGGAGAAGTGGGACAGAACTTCTTTCGGCGTAAATTTTACCTTGGATCCATGCCAAAAGTTACCGTGGTGCATGTAAGTAGACAATCACTAAAAAATAATGTATAAAATAAATATACATATCTACTTATTATAATAAAAAAAAAGTAATTTTCCTAAACCCCGCCCCTACACCGAATTTTTTTTCTGGATCCGCCCCTGAGCGAAAGTATAGATTAAACTCTGTTTGAAGTATGCGCCTCCTTTTGGCACTCAGAGGGCGCATTCACAATGGGCAAATATGCCTCCGAGTGGAAGTATGAGTCATTCGTAGGCGCCTTCCTAACCTTGATTTATTAAATCAGCAAAAAAAATGAAATCTTTAGTGCGGAATGCATTCCTGGAAATCAAATTTAATCCTTCGCGGATATTCTCAATGTTGCTAGGCGCTGAAACTCGATCACACATAGGAACGTAAGCAAAGAACCCTGAATAACTTGCGCGTTCATGAATGAATTATGTATTTACCTTAACGTAAAAGCTATATTTGGTGATGTTCATACAAATGTTGTACATATATACATATATATCTATGTATGTATTACTATCTTTTATGTACAACACAATAATCATGTCTAATTACCCTTGTATGAGAATGCTTTTTATGTAGGCATATCTAACAAAACAGCACACACCCACAACACCGAAAAACAAGAAAATATTCTGACTGCAGCCATGTAGAATGAAAAGTTACAAACGTGAAGAGACAAAGCGCCAGACAAGGTGAGCAGACAAAACCTATCGAAATAGGAGATACCATACGCATCCATATGTATGTAGGTGGGGAGGAAAGAGAGAGTCCATCACTCAAGATAAAACAACCACCTTCAATGCAATGCAATGAAAGCCGAACGAATTGTGCTTACCTGTGTGAGGTAAAAATCCACATATGTATGTATGTATGTATGTAGCTTACCAACTCTTCAGACCAACTAATTAATACATACATACCTTCTCGCTCTAACTTTACCATGGTGAGTGTGTGTGTGTGTGTGTGCGGTGGTAAATGAGCAAAGAAGTTACGCTCGCAAGTAAACCACTCACTCAATCTGCATGATCGCCGTAAAATGCAGGTGTGTATGTGTGGCTACACTACCTGTGGTGAGCGATCGTGCTGCTTTGGGTTTTGGTAAATTGAGCGAAAATGAGATCATTGGATTAGACATGGAGACCAACAATGGACGCAGAAGAAGAACCGTAACAAACAAATACTTTCACACAAAACACCATTCGGTCACTCAACTTACATACACACATACCTAAATTTATATTTATGTTAGCGGAGTTGTTGCTTCCTTTCGTGATGACCGGTGTGCGGATCTCACCGATCGCGCAATGCGTGTGTGTGTGCTTGCGGATGTGTGTGTGGGTAACTTAGTCATCAACAATAGTCGGTTGGCCTGGTCGGTAGAGTCACACATAACATCGTTAACGTCATCATAGTCAGTCGTTGTTAACGTTGTTGTTGTTGATATTGTTGTTGGTGTTATTGTTGCTCCGCGGTAGTCGTTGTCGTCGCGGTCGTCGTCGTTGCTATGTATTGTCGTTGTCAGTGTGACGGCGAAGAAAAGTTACGGTCGCCGTTTATGGCTACGGTTCGATCAGTCTGATTCAACAGTTTGTGCCGTAAGGAAGTGTGCACTACTGAACGGAAGTCACTTGAGACTTGAGTTACAAGTTATTCAAACATACCTACTGTATAAACGCTGAATAAGAACAAGCTACGCGCGAAGCCTAACGTAATAAATTAACAAAGAAAGAAACAGTATGGAGTTGTAGGCGAAGTGACAAAGTTCAAATGTAATAAAAACCGCAAAATAACGTCAGTAGTTAGTTCGTCGAAATAATTTTGATTGGACTTGAGAATCATTAAAAATTTAAGCAAATTAAAAATTTGTGAATACATATTTAAATGATGCGATGCGAAGACTGATTAATAAAATTTAAAGGGAATTTAAATCAAAGTACATACATACCTACGTACGTGTTAAAGTGGCACGTAAAGTAGAACAAAAAAAAATCGAATTTGTCAACAAATTAATTTGAATCAAAAAAAGTGTTAAAGTCAATCGGCGAAAGTAAACGCATACATAAATTAAAAACCACTTTGTTGCCGGCCGTCGTTGCGCGTTCCATGCGTGGACATCGAAATTAACACATTCTTGTGAAATTGGCTAACTCAAAAGATTTGCAACTCAAAACAATAACAAATAAAATATTTAATACCAATAAATACTTATTGTTGTTGCCGCCATTTGAAGTGAAGTGTATGTACATACCTACCTACACAGTGTAATCGCACAACAAACAATTGGCTAAGTGACTTATTGCAGGCATATTGCCATCGACGCGATCGATACTGGCTGTAATAATCGTAACAGCAAATCATCGGTCGGCGTGATTAATTGCGTACGAACAGCTGAGCGAGCAGCCGTACAATTAAACAACTCACGTGGATAAGCTCAGTGGGATTTCATCGAATTTACTTGGATTAGTATGCGGTGTGTGTATTGCTTTTGATTTGCTTACATTTTAATTTACCTTATTTTAGGGCCGTTTTCTGAAGTACATAATCTTTAACTTTAAAGCTCACTTTATATTTAAAGTTTGGATTAAAAAAACGACCGTACGTTTCTTAGTTGTAAACCAATTTAAAACCCATACCGATAATAAAATGCTTTACTTTAGACACAATCATACATTTTAATGCAACAACCTTTTAATAGATATAAAGTGAGCTTTAAAGTTACAGTTTACTTAAGAAAACGGCCCTTAGTGTCGTAAGAATACATTTTAAGCTTTGGGTATAGGAGATAGAATACTTTTGTGTTATATTTAACTGGAGAGTACTCAATCCGAATTACTAATGTTTTCAAGTGCTTTAGAGTCACTTTAGCCTGAAGTAGCAGTTGACGTTTTATTTTTGGCTATGAGCGTATTTTTTTATCAACTGATTATTAGGTGATTTTATAGGCACATAGGTATGTTTGTATGTGTATAAGCCAAGTACAATATAACGCACGTTTTTCTTTGATGACATATCTTTTTACCAATTCAGCGGTTTGTCACTGATAAGCAGCTGTATCTATTAATTAGGTGCGTATAGCAAGTCATTAGCCTTTGTCAAGTGGAGTTTCCCCCAAAATAAAGTTAATCAAAATTTCTTTTATGGTATGGAAATTAAATGCTGAAGTACATATCGATGGCTGAGAGGAAGATAGATCGACCTATGTATCTCGGCAGCCGGTTCGAAAACACCCTCTCAGCAAATTTTTAAGGGACGCCCTATTACAGAATTTGTTTGAAGAGCATTCTATCTCAGAACTTGGTTGTATAACGCCCTCCATCAGCAAATGGTTCAAGAACGCCCTATCTCTCCAAATGTGAATTCATTATATTTTAAATATAAAACCAAACCGAATCAAATTAAATAAAAAATAACAGAATTAAATGAATGAAATGATAATGAAAAGAATAAAATTAGTAGAACAAAAAATAAATAAAATAAAACTTAAGATAATTAAAAAAAAAAATCATATATTTATGTAGATAAAATTAAATAAATAAATTATATAAAAAAAAATAAATAAAAACATTAAACCATGATAAATAGAAAAAATTTACATAGTGCTCGAAGTGCATACACATACTTTTTAAAGTTTTCAAGGTTTGAGTATCAAAAACGATTTATTTGGATAGCTTTTAAAGGAATATTTCGCAAATAAATTAGAAAAGATTTGGCATTTGATAACTTATAAAATAAGTAAATTTTTTACTATAAAAATTAGGTGGCAACGCTGTTTGGAAAATACGTTGTGATGAAGAGTACATATCTTGAGCGTACGTACAAAAAGGTGGCAACACTATTGAAAAATATTTATTAACTGGGGATTTTTAAAAATTTGATACCCACATTATGATGTTTTATTTAATTTGTGACTGATTTCAAATAGGTGGTATCCTTATACGAGGATTCTCGGAGATAATACCTATTATCATCCGTAGATATGTATAAAAAAGGCAACATCTTTGTGTATAAAATTCTCGTATATTTCTTTTCCAAATTACTCACCTCGATGGATATAGGCTAGTTGAGATATTTGTAAAATTTGTACATATGTATGTAATATGACCCAATTTGGTTTATATTCGGAACGTATTTACATGCATTAGAGTGCGTCCCAGTACAAAAAGTTGCTGTTTTCACACGGGAGTTATGAAATTTATTATAGCTTAAGACTCCCGCCAAAATAGCGCGGAAAATATTAAGACTTACGTGAGCTTGACATCGAAAAGTATAGTTTTTTATATATAAATTAAATTATATAAATATTTTTTTTTTTTTATATCATCCCAGTAAATAGAAGATATTAAGCTAAAATGGTCTGAATATAAATATTTAAAAATTTTATCCACGTTTGCAAAATGAAGAGATAAATCTTAAGATATTTCTGAACTATTTTGGTAGAAGTCTTATAACAAATATTAGGGTTCGTTCGCTATTAAAATGACGAGGAGTGTATACTCTCAAGTTTATAAAAGCCTGTCAGTCGTTGTTAGAAAACATATTTTCCATACTTTTTGGAACTTTTGCGCCCTTAAGCACATCCCTCGGTCTTAACGAGAGAAAAAACATATCTTCTTGCATTCGAGTACATAATTTCAAAGGTTTTTTTTTCAAGATTCTATTTGATTTTCTCTATTCAGAAAAAATGTTACAATGTACAAAGGGAATTAAATATTATTACACAAAATTTATGCGCTTGAGGATACCGAATTCGAATTTCTTACTCGATCTTACCATTTAGGTGGGGCTTGGCTTGAGATATTGCGGAAAATCCTATTAATTAATCGAAAAAATTTGCCAATTCAAGCCATGCAGGGGTCAAAAATAAATAATTCTTGTCCACAAAATTAACAATTGTACAGTGATTTAAACGGTATCTAATCAAATCGGTTTCTATCAATAAAATTTTAAAGGACCCCGCAAAATTTTTATTGAAATTTGTATCCATTGAATTACGCCTATATTAAAAAAAGTTTAACATAAGCACTCAGTTATCGTAAGTACCGTTTAAGAAATAATAAATAGTTTTCGGGATAATAATTAAATTTCATTTCCTTTCATCAAAAAATTCGCACTAGTCCACTTGGAAATCGTCGGATAAGGAAAAACTCCAACCATACCTAGTTATGTAGTGCGTGAATACAGGAGTTAACTTTACATGAGAATCGACTGAACTTGTAGAGCCATTTGTTTCTTAATTGTAGGCAAATATTTGCACTCACAAATTTACGATAACGTTGAAAAATTGTATACACGTAGTAAGTAAGAAGTTATTTTGTTCAAGAATTTTTGTGTGATCATTAATACTTACTATTTTCATGGTTAGATATTGATATTTTTATAACGTTAAAGTGTTAAAAAGGATTTAAATTTTCTTTTAAGCAACATTTTTCTTCGAGTGGGGGCATGTGAAATTTTTTGTTTTTTTTCTTTGAACATTATAAATCAAAATTACTCGAGGAAAATATCTAAAGAACACACAATGATTTTCTTTCAAATCTAGTTTTGTACACAAGTCCATAGATTATAGTCGATAATTATTGATGAAAAATCTTTAACACTTGAAAATAATTGTTATTTAAATTAATTTGTAACAATTAAAAAAAAAAAAATAAGAGCGTTTGAAAGAAATTCCAAAATAGGTCACTTGAACTGTTACAAAGTTTTTTTTTTTAAGTGTTCTTTATAAGTGTAAAAATGTCAGATAGGGCATAAGACGACACCCATGATTGCTAACCTTTTAAATCTAAACCCAAAATAGATCCCTTCGCTTCAAGGACAAGTTTGCAATTATAGCTTCTCTAAGCCTCATTTTAATGTTGAATAAGTAGGTAATATTTTCTATATCAATTTCAGTATTTTACTTAACAAACAGCAAGTAAGAAGCTTCATGTCTAATTGTTATGTACATGGGCGTAGCCAGGTAAGGGCCGTGGCCCGCCCCCCATAACTTCCAAGTTTTCCATATATAAGTACATATATGAAAAATAGTACCCTGAAATGCCAGCTTAATAGTGTCGAGGCCCCTCCTGAATTCCATTCTAGCTACGCGCATGATTATGTATTATTATGATGCTATCTATACACCTCTGCTTATCATCGCTTATCGCCTCAGCTGTTCAATGAGTTAACTTTTCAAGTAATTTTGTTTTGTTTCCATGACATAATTGCCGAAAAATGACTGGACTACATCGATTGCAATTCATCAATTTTGATTTTCTTTATTATTTTTTTGGTAGCAAAGAGAAAAGCAAAACGTCCGCCCTAATCAAGTGGTTAGAGGTGCGTGCTGTCACCCGATAGGAGCCAGATTCGATTCTTAGCATCAGCAACATTCAAAAACGTTTTTCCCTCTTAGCTTCCGCCATCGGCAAGCAATGACGCACCGCCGGCTTTATTTCTGACATCAAAAAGTTTCTCATAAAATCCACCTGCGGTGGGGAGGTTGTGTTACCACATCAAGTCGCTTAATACAAAGGGGGAAAAGCTCGGCCAAACACTTAACGAAAATGTGAGCGCTAAACATTTATTTATTTATTTATACAGAAGAGCATGCGGAAATATTAGCTGGCCTTTTTTTGATAAGATTTCGAAAAAAAAAAAACATTAAGGTTGTTGACTTATACGGTGTGATGATATTTATGAGTAATTTTACGTATCTATTGATGATAAAAGCAACTTATGGTATGAATAATGCAAATTTCAAAGTTTATTTTTTAGACTTTAAACTCAAAAGTTTTTGGGTACGAATCGAGATTATTTTTTTTATTTCTAGTTAATGTTATACTTGCTGACTGCACAGATTTTATGAAAGTGCCAAGATCATTTTGCTTTGCATTTGGTAAAGCAGTCAATTGTGAGCTGTGACATGACCTGCAAGCGTTTTTCTTCAGCTTTGTTCTAATAGTTTTTTCCGTTGCAATTTTTTTATAAAAACAATTTTTTTTTGGATATAAATTTTTTTTATTTGAAAATATGCATGTATACATACTTTAAATAAAAGAGGCGTTTTTAATATAAAAATCAAATTAAAAATTTAATTTAAAACTTTTTATAGTTTTACTTTAAATACGCAAATTCTAGCAAATTCGTACAAAAAATCTTTAAACTAACGTTAATATTAAGTATGATTATTATTTTTTAATTAAAAATACCACCATACCTAAGTGCGGTTTCACATAACCCGGTATCTGGTTAACCGGAATGTGTGAAACGACACTTATATTTAAAAAAATGTCATAAAAATTTACATATTTACAGACATCGTAATTCACCTCAATTAAAACCCAACCACTTGTCACTAATTTTCCCCTCCCTTTTTTCTCTACCCCAATCAGGTGGTTGCAAATCACTTGCAACCAATAAAACCAGCAAAACGGCGAACCAAAGCGAATTTTTACACACCAAAACGCGCCCACGCCTGCAATATAGCGTGCGGTCACCAACAAATAAAACAACAACACTAACAGCTGTAAGAACCACACAAATACTACACACACGCACAAAGAAAAATCTCAGCAGTCGGAGTAGAAGTAGCCGTCGCATCCTCACACCTAATCTCATTTTGTTTATAATGACTTTACTAACAGTATTCACAAGTGCCGTTGCGGCGCCCACCACCTCAACAACAACAAAAACAGCAGAAGCAGCAGCAGCAGCTCATTCCACCACACAGCATACAGTAACTGCTGCAGTACCGGTGACAGCAACGTCAACAAAAGCTGCTGCAACAACAGCCTCGCTAAAAAAAACCTCCCAAAATACGATCGATGTGAGCAGCGGCATTGTCTATACGGCGTTGCAGGCAGCACCCCTTGAGGGTTCGCGCCTGCGCAAGCGACATAGTAAACGCCATAGTAATTGGTATGATTTTATTAATTTCAATGAGAATACCACCGAATTGGAATGGGTGAATCCGTGTGGTGGCTTCTATGTGCCGTCGGCGACGGAGAACGTACGCACTAAGCGACGGAAGCATCCAAAGCAGGTGGGTTGAGTTGAAAAATGATTTAAAACTTTTTATTATTTAGTGTAACTAATATTCATTTGAATTAATAGTTTTATTATTATCTATGTATCTTATAATTTTTATTATTATTTTTCTTTTTTAATTTTCAGATTTTCAACATGCTCAAAAAGTCAGCTGGCAATGAGTATAAAATGTTGAAAGCCGGCCAACAGGATATTGATATAAGCAATATACAAATTTGGTCGCTGCACAATAAGACTTATAAATTCCTGCCCAAATTGAAGAGCAATTCAACGGTAAGTTGGCAATTCTTGTTGTAACTAAGTATTCGAGATAATTCTCGCTTGTTTTTTTTTTTTAGTAGAGTAAGTTTCTCTTTCATATTCTTATGCACATTTGTATGCACTTTTGAATGTGTGTACGCAGTAGGGTGATTCGAAACCGCATGTGAAAAAGTAAAGTCGGAATTTTAATGCTTTACCTCCGTTATTAAAAAAAAAAAAACATTTAGCTCAAAGCGCTCAAAGTTTTTCATGTATTTTATATAAGGGGGAAAACAAGTCTTTGTAGAAATGGTATAGAAATCTTTAAAATCAATATTTTTCGATCGGAAAACTTCGCTTCTCTTTAGAAGACTTCCAATAACAATACCCAACTGTTTAATTAAACAATTTTCTATTATTGGCTATTTTTTATAGAACACCTAAACACCTCAAAAAATACAATGGGGAACCCATATAAAAAATAGTTAATACTAGGAAACGAAGCTTTCCGATCGAAAAATGTTAATTTTAAAGAATACTATACCATTTCTACGAAAACTTATTTTTCCCCATTTAAAATATATGGAAAACTTTTAGCCATCTCTAAATATTTTGTGATTTATGTGATGGTATAGAACAGTCCTAGGGGTGAGAGCATTCAAATTCCGACTTTCCTATTTCTGTACCACCCTTGTACGATGTATACGTAAAACGAAAATTAATTTGGCATTTCCGTTAATATGACGCTAATAAATATGTATGTATGCGAAAATGTGGCTATATGTAATAGCAAAAAAAAACAAAGAAAACCCAAAAACGTTTCTCATTAGGTTACTCATTTTTCGTTTACAAGTACATTGAAAAATATTTCTCAAATACATTACTTATATGCATGTAAATTTAACAAGATTATGACAATAAGGCTTGCATTATTTTAGAACCTTTAATTTGTGGACATGCATAGAAATTCCACAGAAAGCTTTGATAATTTTTTCCTATAGGTTTGATCGTGACTGAATTAAATACTTAGGGGGTACCTTCCGTTCGGCGAAACATCGGGCAGCAAAGTGAAGAAAGTCTTTTCTTGCACATAAACCACTTCGATAAAAATAGCCTATGAGAACCACAAGTTTTGAATCTCGGTCGTTTTTGTTTTACTTTTTCAAAAATCTCAACTTTTTTCGATAAAAACCTTTACAGAAACACCCAAAAGGGAAAGCTTGGACATAACTTTTTAAAGCTTTCTGAAAGCTTTGTATATTCGCGAAAGCTCACTGTTATCGCCAAACAACTTATGAAGTTTCCAGCTTTAATCGATCCTGTTATAATTTTCCAAGAAGATAAAAAGTTTAGAGCAGCGACAAACAAAAGATATTTGTAAGCTTGATACAGACTATGTATGTATGATCCAGTGTTCGGCAGATAGAGCTTTTAATCTTTGATCGTCTGTATCAGTGATGCTCACTGATGCGGGCGGAACTCTTCACAGCTCTCTGTAGGTTTCATTGTATGAACGCGCACAGAGTAAAAGCTCTCTCTGAGCATCAGTGGTCTACATTAGAGCAAAAGCTCTCTCTGGGCATCATTGGTCTATAACAGTGATGCCCGTAGAGAGCTTTTACTCTGCGCGCGTCCATATAAAACCTACAGACAGCTTTGAAGTGTTCCCACCGCGGGCGCTCATTTGAGCATCAACGGTCTATATAAGTATAATGTTAAAAGCTTTAAAAAGCTTGTTGGACTTGTTTATAATGACCGATGGTCGAATAATTTCTATACAAGCTTCAAAAGGTATTGCAAGAATTATTAGTGTTAATTTAAATCATATAAAAGCTTAAAAAAGAAAAAGTATTTATCGGCGCTTAATTCTGTAAACAAGTACTACATTTTTAGCTTCAGTAAGCATCAGAGGACATATTGAAGAGAATCGAATCGATCATGTCTTCTTTTATCAATGATTAATCTTTAATCTTTTTGAAGCTTTCGAAATTTTGTTTGTGAAAATGTGAGCTTAGCAGAAGTATATTTAAGACCCAAATAAATGAAATCGTAGTTGACGAATTCAGAGGCACGCGTATCAAGCTTTTTAAGCTTTTCTCTTTAGATAGTCGCAGAGGAAAAGCTCTCCCTGACCAACATTAGATCAGTGATGCTGAAAACAGCGCCCGCGTGCTTAACTCTTTAAACTCTCTCCGCCCATCGCTACATTAGATGGATTGCTTCAAACCTTAAAATTTACCTATTAGTTAAAGCTCAAAAAATGTTTCGTAGGTGAAAGTTTAAAAGCTTACTAAGTATTCATTCCCATTCTGTTTTTAAAATATTTTGAAATACTTCAAGTAAGCTTCGCCTTCGTATATTGCAAATAAATAAATACTATTGGTACGAAAAAATTCAAGTTGACACAATAATTGTTTCCAGTGCTACAATTAGGTTTGCCCGAAAGGCTGCTAGCGTAAGCAATAAAGAATTTAGTTTGCATTAGTTTCAAACACTTTGTCATTTGTGTCTAGTCATCTAGTCATCAATTCTCTAACCGTTTCGCTTCGTTGGCGAAGATTTCATGTTTCACATATACTATTCGCTGGTATTTACATACATATGTACATAAATAAATGCCAGCTATTTTATATTATTTTAAATTTGTTGATATCAATACTGGTATGAGTAAGACAAAAATTTTAATAGATAAATAAAAAGTTTTGAACATTAATCACACAATTTTCACGTTGCTGCTTGCGTACTTGTAGTCACATTTTGAAAGGGAGAGGCGCACTTATTGAAAGGGCGCAAAAAGCTTTCTCTCAACATTTTTTTGTTTAGTCATCGTGAAACGATAGCAAATCTTAAACCGGTCCCATAAAATAGTTAGTAGACTTAATTGGTGCAATAATATAATATAAATATTTTATACTTGCAAGTTGGTAAATTTTATTCATTCATCGCTACTGAATGTTATCTTATCAAATGCAGGCCTTTAAAGAATGCGCTTATGTCTGCGCGTTGGTTAAATAAAAAACTTGCGTAACTACTTACATACGTACATATGTATTTTTAGATATAGTAAAGGCAGACAAGTGCAATCCGATCGCCAACAGCTGATGACTGTTATGTATATTTACTACGTACATACATACATATGCACTTATAAACATACATACATACATACATACATCGTTTGTGCATGATCAACCGGCCTATTGCTCATAAATGACAAAAAATAGAATATATGACTTCACAAACTGCCAATTGCCTTTGTTATATGGATAACAATCCAATTACATATGTATGTATGTATGTATGTACGTAAATACATTGTACCATTTACATATGAACGTACATCCATACGCATATTGGCCGGAAAGTTTAGACACGTCTATTAAGAAAGCGAATGGCAAAGCTTTTTGTGTTTTGATTTTTAATGTTTTTTCCTGGCGTGATTCATACTAGGTCTGGCGTGCGTCTATGTTTACATATGTACATTATGGTGGCCCAACATATTTTGTCCAGCCACCTAAAAGAATTGAAGAATATTGAAAATGAAACCCGTATGCCCGCCGGTATTTCAAGTTTTCCATATTCACTAAATCGTTATAAAATCGTTAAAAATATGTCTATAGTTTTTAATAAATAAAAAAAAATGCGGTCTTCTTATTTTCAATTTTCATCAATTCAGGCCGTTGGCAGCAGAAAACTTCCCAAAAGTTGATTTTCCAGTGCATTTTTGGAGCATCCTAATGCACAAACATGCATATGTACATATGAAAGTATAAAAATAAGTGGCCGCAAATCAATGAGATAAACGATTAATAACAGCAAGTGAAAAAATAAATAAATTAAAAACAAAACGATTATGAAATAAGTAAAAACCATATAGTGGTAGCAGAAAGCGTAAAGCAAGTGAGTAAATCAACAAAAAACAGAACAAATACGAAGACGATATACAGTAGTTGGGCATGGAAATAGATGGACTGTGAATTTTAAAAGTTTTGTCCACCGAAGTTTTATAGAGAATTTTTTGTAGAGTAAATAAAGTAAGTGCTTGCAAAATTGAAGCTAAAAAATTTGCATTTACGAGCTTTATAAAGAAATATTAAGCCGCAAATTTAGAATATTATGTGATCACAATATAAGTTTGTTAGTTTATATCAGTGCTGGCAAAAGAGTGCCTTTACTCTGTGGACGTCCATATAAAATATTTAGAAAACTTGAAAAAGCTCTGCATGCGCGAGAAATTAAAAAATTACATATGTATTATAAGCTTCGATGGCTTAAAGCTAACTAGCCTCAAAAACCTACTGACCGTGATAATTCGAAAAAATGCTATAAGTGGATAAAAAGTGACTACCTTTTATATTGCAAATTAAAAAAAAAAAATAGTTTAATAAGAATAGCAAGCTTATGTAAGAGTCTACTTAAAAGTCTTCAGTAAATTTATCCAAATAATTCGAGATTTCCAAAACCTATGATCGTAAACGATTTGGGGTGTTTAAAAAAGCTTAGTTAGACTGAAAGTTTTTATATTTCTAGGTCTGTGGAAGTTTTGAAAGCGTATATAATTCAAGCAATACAAATGTTGGCTTCTGGTGTTAGCTACAAAATTAAAAGCTTAGTAGCCAAATGCCTAGCTTCAAATTTGTGAAAGCTGTGATTTGATTTTGTGAAAGCTACCATGCACGGAAAAAATGTGTTATTTTCTTTGAAAGTGGCTTTTATTTGGCGGATTAAATCAGTTTACCTTTAATAATAGCTCTCAATAGCTAATTAAATTTCGGGACTGAGAACTAAAAGCTTTCCTGCCTGTTAAGAACTAATGGAACTCGTGAAACTTAAAACATTTTTTTTTAATTATATATGTACATTTTAATTCAGTTACGATAAAAAAATATTACGAAGGGAAAGCTTTTTTACACTTTTTATAGCATTTTTATTGACGCACACAAAGTAAAGGCTCTCCACTGGTCGTTGCCGATGAATATGTAAGATCCATATGGACGCGCAAATGGCAAAAGCTCTCGCTGGACAACAATGTTTAATATGGGCTGGTGCAGTATGAAAGCTCTCTTTCGGACATATTCTGAGATAAATGTGTTTGAGAGCTTTTTGCTTATAGAAGAGTACTTGTCCGCTTCAGAGGCACGCGTGTCAAATCTATTAAAAACTCTCTGCAAAATGACTCAGAAACATTAAATAGGGAAACCCTGAAAAGTTAATAAATGAGAAATAGAATCCAAAAGCTCACCGAATCTTTCATTAATATTTAAAGCAATTGTAAACAGATTAAATTGTTAAAAAGTTAGAATTTTTAGCTTTCAAAACCATTCAATATAATGCGACACATTTGTAGGTCAGGTGCTTAGAAAATCCGCTGCAAAAACAAAAAAAAAAAACAACACAAAACAGCGTTAATTTCCAAGTATTAAATATCGATATTTTGGCTTTTACCAAATATCATGTAGGCTTATAAAGTTGCCACTCTAAGCCGACTTTGACAGCGTGCTGATTGTGTTCAGCTACTTATCAACGTCACGTACGACATTAGGCAGTTTATGAAGTGTCAATATATCTTCGAGTATGCACATTAAATTTTATTTATAAAAGCAGCGGACTGAGTAGTTGTCCAATTAGCCAAATGAACGGGTGAAAGAGTGTGTGCGAGTGCGCGCGATTTTAATTATCATTTTATAGCTAAAAAGCTTCTTTTTTTTTTACTTAAATGGTAATAAACGATTGCTGTCGACACGATCGAATGACCTATAAATACAATGTACATATGTACATATATATTTGCGATTGAAATTTTGAGTGTGTGAGGAGGGAGCGATTGTGATGTGAAACGAACGCGCTAGCCTACGCGGGTGTTGAGCATTTTTTACTATACATACGCTCACCGCTGCTATAAAACGCGCGCTCAGCGCTTTTCAGTACTCAGTATTAAATTATTTTGATTTGGGGTAGGTCGGGGTCGTATACGTGTCGCATACACAAATATATGCATTTTTGTATGAATAAACTGAGGATAGTTACTCGTAGGGTGGCTATTTAGAATATTTTTGTTAAACATTTAAATGCGTTTTCTTTCTAAAGCTTTTACTCATAAAAATCACATTTATTTCCGCTTCAATTTTAGATCGCTTTAAAACGCTGGTATCGCAACATACAATCGTATGTCGCTTCGTTCGCTTACCTGCGACGCGTTCAACGTGCTTGGGATATGGCTAAATTGCAACGTGAAAATAGCACTGCACGCGAATTGAAAATGTTGCTATTCAGCGCGCGGCGTATGCTTTGCGAATTGGAGACAGCTATCAATGGCACCATGCCAACACCGCGAGCGCTGCGCGGCAACCGTCTACCACATGTGACGCGTAATCAAATGAATAAGCGCTTAAAGCTCTATACAAAGCGCCGTGCCGAACGCTATCCGACAATGTTACAGGAGGCCAATAGCATCGATTTGATGTGGGTTAAATATTATTATTATGATTTTTTGGAAACAATGTGGAAGGTGTTGCGTCAAAAGACGAAGCGCCGTGGCCAAGTCGCATTGGCGCAACATCCAAAAGCGTACAACGAGGTGGAGAAGCATTTTGGTAGCATTGCGGCGGCGATGACGCGGCATGAAGCGGCGGCACCAAGTGGCAGCGTAGATGGCAGCAGCGAAAGTATGGAAAAGCGCGCTAATGGCGGGCGGATGGCGCAACTAAAGCGCGGCAGTGCAAGTAGTAGTAAAAGTGCTAGGCACCGAAGAGTTACTACGGCGAGCAGTGCTGGGGGTGGTGGTGGTGGCGGTGGTAGCGGAAGGCGGTCGGCGCGTGCGCGCACCAATATGCGGTGAGCAACAACAGTGTGCGTAGCAGGAAGTTAAGAGTTTTATTTTCTCTTATTTTTATTATTCTCATTAGATATTGTTTTTTTTTAATTGAGTCTCAACAATTTCTCGCTTTCATACAAAAATATGCTACTTAATTTCGTGAAGGCGGTTACATAGTTTAAATTAGTCTATTCGTAGAGTAAAGTGTTATTAGGAATTTAACTCACTCTATCGCCAGTGTTTAGTGCTTGCATACTGTTAAGGCGAAACCATTAAGTAGATATATATATATATAAACATATATCTAGTATACGTACACACGCCCTCACTCTTACTGATAGATTAGACGCAAACTATTAAGTACAACTACAACTATTCACTAAACGTAAGCAAGAAAAGTAAACAAAAACGCTGCATTTAATTAGGAATTGCATACACGTAGCAACAAAAACAACAAAAACATTACATAATCTAAGCAACAACTCGCCAGCTACATATTTATTTATTACATTCCGCATCATAAAAAGCTAAAGCTAAAGCGCAGCGGGTCAAACGGTTTACATACAAGCGCGCAAGTTCAAGTTCAGTGTCGTAAAAACAACAACAACAAAGCGCTGCAAATTCAGAAAAAGCAAAGCGAAAATTAATGGAAAATCTAAAAAAAAAAACAAATAAACACATTTACATTTTTTGTTATTCGGTATGTTTACAAACGCGCTGCATTCAATTTTCCTTTCGTTTCCATTTTCATTTCGATTTCCATTTGCATTTGCATTTTTCACTTTCAATTTCATGCAAAACTAGTATAGAAACAAAGCAAAAACAACAACAAAGACTTAAATAAACACAAATTAATAGTTGTAGCATTCTAGTCAACACATCAAGCAGTCTCGATTACTCTGATAACGGAGCAGTTACATATGTACACACCCACCATATACATATACATACGCACACATGCACATGACATTTTGACTCGTCTTTTACACCCCGTGAGCACCTAAAAAAAAAACTTGATTTGTTCCTATATTTTACTACATACATACATGTGTGTATGTGTTGTATGTTTCTGTAATCACATGAAAAGGTGCGCAAATATACATACATACATACATACCAACAAAATAAATAAATATACATGCAAGCATGTGTATAAGCTTCAGAAGCTTTATAAGCACGTGAGCAGAGGCAAGGCACGGGTGTGGTAAGAAATTGCAATTATCAAAAGGCGGAGAAGATATTATTTCAATAGGTGCAGAAAACGATTTTTTGTACATTATATTGCGAAACAAAATAACATTTTTTCAAAAGAGTTTAGACATTTTTCCATATACATACATAGGTATTTCACCATATTTCGACAACATATAAGAAAATTGCCGAGTAATATATTTTAATAAATTTAAAATTTTTTAAAATAGTTTTTAATAAAAAGTTTGTTAAATTTTTCAAAAAAATCAAAATTCAACCTTTCACAAAAATTTAGAAAAACTTGTTTTGTAAAAATTTTGAAAAAACTTGGAAATAAATTTTTGTGAACTTTTTTAAGGTACTTTTCCGGAAATTAGTTTCAATAAATTTTTTTGTAAGCTTTTTGAAAAATTTACTTTTTATTTTGCCAAAGAAAAAATATTAACTAATAAATTTTTAGAAAAATTTGAATTAAATTTTTTTTAAATATATTTATATTTCTATAATTAAAAAAAAACTGCTTATAAAACCGGTCAGTTTTATAAAAAATTGTAAATTCTTAATCCTATTAATTTTTTGTTAAACAAAAATTAACTTTCATTAAAAATCATTTTAATAAAATAATCAAAACTTTTTTTGGGTGTAAAAAATCAATTCTTCGCTAAAAAATGCTAACCTATTCAATTGAATGATTTTTTTTTTATTTTTAAATAATTTTTTTAGCCTTTTTGATAATATTTTTCTTTTCTATTTCTTGGACCAGTATCTATCTTTAAACCCCATTTTTGTCAGATTTTCAAATGGTAACTTTTTTTAAAATACATGTTCTTTATGGAAATTCACTATTTTTCAAAAAAATTAGAAGCAAATAATTTTTTTAGAGAAATTTTGAAAAGTGTTGACTTTCTAGAAAAAGGCATACTTTTGAAAACATAATTTCTTTGTTTTGGAAAAAATTTCAAAAATAAATTGGAAACATTTTTGAAAATATGTCTTAAAATCTGTTGTTAAAATTTTTGTTTTTGAGTTTATAAAATTATTATTTTTTTTTGGCAATTTCCAAAAAAGTGAAAGTAGATATCTTTAAACTTTTTTTAACCCCACGAGCGCCTCTGCTCATAAAGTTTATATCTAGCACACGCATACTTATGTGTATATATATGATGTATGTATACTTGTAAAAATTGAGAGTCAAAATCGATCAAAAAATATTGCACTGAAAAGACTACAAACGAAAAGCACGTGAGCGTGTTTACGAGTACTCGTTTTTAAATCTTAGGCTCTCTCTCTCTCATTCTATGTTTCTCTCTAAAAAAGTTCTTAATTTATTTCTTACATTTTAGCATACATATGTATAAGAAAAAAAAAATTAAAAACTTTTGATCTGCATAACGTGTGTAAATTTAAGCTATTTATTATTGCAATAAAGAACAAAACTTTAATTAAAAATAAACACAATCAAAATAGTAATAAAATTCATAAAGTCAAGTGCTCATCTGCATTTGCTTTTGCGCTGTGATATTGTACTTTTTGTATAGAATTAAGAGACATTTATAAATAACGCATGTATGTACATATGTACGTTTGTACACGTTTAGAGAAATGAAATCAATCAAATCAAAGCAAATATGTAGGTTTGTGCAAAAAATAGTATTACTTAAAATTAGTATTTTCTTAAGCAAAAAAGGCATTTTTGTACGAGTACTCTAGTTTTAAGCGTATTTAAAAAATTGTAAATTCATTAAGAAAATTACTGCACGTTCCAATTGAAAAAGTGCGAACTAAGTGAAATATTTGAAAAATAAAATTCATAAAATTGACAAAATAAAAACTTGTGTTTGTATTTAAAATCATGTATTAAAAATCATTTTTAACTATCTTTCTTTGCTAAAGAGGAATTTAGCATTGGAAGATTTAGTATACATATGTTACAGAATGATTGAAAAACACCTTTATTTGTTCATCCCAAGAGCGGACAGGTCCTTCTGCACTCGGCATTTCCATTGTGTTCGTGGCCGACCTTGCTTTCGTTGTCCACCCATGGGTGCGGAGTCGAAGGATCTTTTCACCGGAGAGTCGTCATCCATGCGTACAACATGTCCAAGCCAACGCAATCGCTGTATTTTTATGCGCTTAACTATGTCCACGTTGTTAAAAAGCTCGTACAGTTCGTCATTCCATCTTCGTCGGTACTCATCGCCCACGCGCACAGGGCCATAGATTTTGCGTAGAATATGTAGTTCTCTCGAAATCTCCCAAAAAGTTCTCAACTTTGTTAGACATCGTCCATGTTTCTGTGCCATTTAAGAGGACGGGCATGATGAGAGAATCGTAGAGCATGATTTTTGTTCGTCGAGAGAGGGCTCTGCTTTGTGTACCAATCTCAAAGTAGCACCTATTGGCTAGAGTTGTTCTTCGCTTGATTTCCAGTCTGACTTATTGATGGTGTTTATGCTGGAGCCTAAGTAAACAAAGTCCTTCACTACTTCAAAGATATGACTCCAAACAAAGACGCCCGTCCCAATACGCGGAAAATTTTTATGCGTTACCAGGAGGTACTTTGTCTTGTCCTCGCTCACCGCTAAACTAACTACTTTAGCTTCTTTTTCTAAGCTGGAAAATGCTGCGCTGACGTCCATTGGTTTTAGACCAATATCATCCGCATACGCCACACAGTGTATCATTTCAGTATTCTATAAAAGATTAATTCCATTATTTTATGTCGCCAAATTTGAAAACAACGTCAAGAATGTTTTCAGAAATGCCTGATAAAGACGAAACAATAACAACTAAAAAATTTTAATCAAAGGGTATGGCGGGACGGGGTTTGGTTTGGAAAATTACCGAGCACAATAATATTTAAACTTGTATATTTGAAACTGAATCTCAATGCTTATTTTGTCGGTGTTATGTGATTTATGCAACACCTACCAAAATACCATTTTGGTCTTATTTGCTTGGGTATGTTCTTTTTAATGAATATACATTTTTGGGATTTTAGTAAACTAGGACTGAGTATTTCATGTTAAAGCAAAACGATGTTAACTTAAACTTATTTTTAGCAATTTATTAATTTCATTAGACCCGCAAACTCATTATCCGCCACTATTCGATAAAGTTTGTATCTCAGTTTATTTGCCACTCCTCTTAGACTTTAAACAACATAATTTTAGCTGCAGGAAAGTGCAGGTTTTGATGAAATTTTCTTTTTTCTGGCCTACTGGGAATTTCATTTTCCTCGAGTAATTCGCTTGCATTTTATCTCGACCGAGACAAATTCTTATATTTTCGCTTTCAACAGAGAAAGCCTGATTCATTACCTTTCCAATGGTATCCCATTTCTGTAAATAGAGTAAGAAATATTGAACTTATAACGGAATTTCTTTGACCCAACTTGACTTTTTTATCGATATTTTCCACGCCCATAACTAAAAAAAAATATATTTATTTTTAAGTCCATTTCTGTCAGTTTATAATTCCTTGTTATAGGGAAATTCTAAATATCTATTTTGGGCATTTTAGCCTTTGTAGTTAGTTAAATATTTCAGTTTTTGCATTTTTAAAAATTGCAGTTATATAATAGGGTGGCATGACAGTAACTATAAATTACCAATTTTTTGTAAAAAGCTTCGCCTATCTTATAACGCACCTTGTGCAAAATTTCATTAATCTATCTTCAATAGATTTCGAATTACAGAATTAAAAGCAGCTAGATGG